CAAAGCTACACGAGGGCTATCTGCGCTAGCCGTCCCTAATTTAGCAGTGTAAGACTAGAGGGAAGGCAGCTAGTCATCGCCACCCACCGCCAACTCTTGGGCTACTATTTTACCAACGAATAGTGGGATTGACCGTCACATTATAACGCCCCCACGGCTGAAAGGGCGAGCATGTTAGAAGCTTTAATTTTCTATCTATTATCATACTGACTAAGCATTTATAGTATAACTGAAATAGACACTGTTCTGATCACCGTTTTGCTGCCATTTTTATCCAGTTGATACTAAACCGATTCTTTCATACGCCCCACGGTTACTCAACCGTAAATCTGGGGTCTTATAACGCTAAAAATCGGGTTTCGATATATACAGAGTGTTTTATACAGATAGCCCATTGGGTAGCTTTGTGTTTAACAAACAAAATAACATTCGTTCGGATGTGTGATTTCGTACAGGTGAAAGCAGGTAGACGCAACCTAGTCCCCAACCCTCCAACTTCAGAACTGACAGTCCAAGCAGAGGTTTATGAAGCAAATTAAAAGTGTGCGTGTGGGGGTGGGGAAAGGTTTATTTGACCTAGCGAAGCGAAGGCATATGCTCCACAGACACACCCATCACGTCCAGGGATCGTCTTAGGTACCTGGAAGCTCTTGGGTTCTGGATTACATTTTATGCATTCTCCTGCTTTTCCTGAGAGTAATTTTCCTAATTTGATGCATTGTTACTGGGACAGATTGAATAATGGGGAGGGTTCCCGCTTCATACGTCGTTGCCTTGGTATTGGTGCAATCATAATTATTTAATCAGATGAGATAAGATGATATCATTCTTGTTCCAAAATTGCATTTTCACGAGATAAATTCAACTTGAAGTGTTATTTCTTGTGGCTTGACCGGCCTAGGAATTTATCTACTGCTTCTGGGCTACATACATTGTGTCCTTCTTGACCTTGTGTTTAGGAGATATCTTGTGCCTTTTTCTGATTGGTCAGGTGCGAGGAAAATGTACTTTGTGATGTGTAGTTTGGCACTTTTTATCACTGAGTGGAAACTTTCCTTACACAACCCAAGTTCATATAAACAAATATCAGTTGCAAAATAGACACAAAGATCATTTATCAAAATTAATTTAGGGTCCACAATGACATATTCTATTATTCACATTAAAAGCATGATTGCGATTTCACAGTAAACCAGTGATTTGGCTAACTAACTTGTTAACGAAAGCGCGCACAAACAAACACACAAACTGAGTATTTCGCCATGCTCCTCTTAACGAGATTCGACAAATGTATATATCATAGCTCAAGGCCACTCGAGACAAGAAGATATTAACACAGGTAACCTACAAAAATAGCAGTTTACAATGCTATTCCAAGTGTACTGACAGGCACTTCGAAATAAAATCTGTAAAGTAACACACTTTATTTTTCGTAAATCCTCAAAAATGTATTTGTATATATTTTATGACTAGTTTCGACCTTTTTAACTAAAATAATCCTTACTATGTTTGTGTGAAAATAACCTACAAAATTATAAACTTCCTCAAACCGACTAGTCTGCCTAAGACGTCTTTGGCCATAGTGCATTTTTATTTAGCTATTTATTTCTCAGATTTCTGTATGTGATGTAATGAAGTAATGTTCCGGTCACATGACTAGAGAGACCTAGATTAGAGAGTTGGCTTACCCTAACCTAGCGTGACGGGTACGTTAAAATATAGAGGCTGTGAAGACAACATGAGACGGTAGTTTGAGAAGGAACTTCAAATTCTATACTAAAGCAGTAAATATATTTCTTTTCGATAATGAAACAGATTTTGTGTGACATTTCTTCACCAAATGAAGCTTTGTGAAGGTGAGTTGTATGTACTATCATCCATTGTTAAGTAATTTTAAATAGAGTTAAGTTGTGCAAGCTTCGTTTACGTGCTAGACGTAAAGTGTTTACGTGTTCAAGTAATTGTGGCATGCGCGTATTCTAAACAAGTTTTTATGACACAAGGAAAAAATATAATTTGAAATTTAATAATAAAACAGATTGAGCGTTAAACAAATTGTGGTTTGTATTACCTTGGAAAATATATAAAAATGCATGTTTAAAGAATTGTTTTTATTAAAGCGAATGCATGAATTTTCTTATCGAATTTTATCTTGTCCCCTAAAATTAGAAACAAGTTACGTTAACTGCACATGAACAACAACTCTGCTGTGAAGAACAATTTATATTTTTTATCAAAATGATTGGATAACGGTAGTGTAATTTGGTGTTTGAAATAACTTCTTTCATACTAGTGATATTTTCTAGAACGTGTACTTGTGACATTTTTCGGTAATTCAATTGTAAACCAGTCCTATCATAAGCCTTGAATTAGAAAATAAATGTATACTTAAGCCAAGGTGTACTACGTAAAGATTAAAAATAAAAACTGAAAAATCATCGATAGTTTGTTTCTACAAACCATGGAAAAACTGCAAATACACGTGGTTTTACAAAAAAAAAAGTAATAATAATAATTACAATAAGATATATAGAATATAATTTAGTGGAAGGATAGAAAGTTTTCGGTTCTTCAGATACCAAAAGAGCAAACAATGTTGATAATACAAAATATAATTTTAACTTTAGAGCTGCGTTTTTACTGAATTAAATTCACAAAATTCATGACAAAATGGCACAATTGACCAGTCCATGTCAGGTCAGTGACCTTCGAAATCATAGGTTTAAGGAATTTCACGGCTCTAGGGTAAACGGTTTTTGTGTGAAAGGTCACAAAATGTATATAATCCGAAATGACTCCCAGATGATGAGACCAGTGATATAAAAGTATCAATAACGTTATTATTTTTAACGCCATAATAACAAGTAAACTATTGATGGGAAGCTCTGTTTGTGCTCTAGCCAATTATGCCGTTTTTTTTCTAACATTCGGGATTTTTGCCATGAATCGTTGACCTTTGATTTCTTTTACACTGTAAGGCCTAACAACAGTAACATGGATAACCAAAATCAAGGTTGGATATTGAGGTTCACACCATCCTCTAAATTTGTAAAATCAGGCCCGTACGCAGAATGTTTGAAAGGGGGATTCTAATTTGTAAAATCAACACATATTGTACGAAGCACAATCAGTATGCAATGCATACTAATACTCCGGGGTTTTTTGGAGCATGTGTCTATTTCAAGGCAAAAAATGCTAATGCCTTATCAGAAGAATGTACACATCACAAAAATAGTCCCCCCCCCCCATGCCATTTAGGAACGACTGGAAATTGAAACAACTTATAGAGGAAAAGGATTCAGCCAGTCTATAAAAAAAACGTACATCGTATATCGTACATGGGAAGGTCTTTCAGATTTCTGTATAGCAGTTCGAATGGATAAAGAAAATTGGCATAATTCAGTTTTCGTGGAGGAAGA